TGCGTCACCATGCCCGGCTAAGAAAAATTTTAAAAATGGCTGGGGATGTAGTTCAGTGTGGAGGTCCTGGGTTCAGTTTCCACTATTACAAAAAATGAAATGAAATAACCATTGATCAGCCTAGGGTATATCAGATTTCTTGCCGACCATGCATGAGGACCTGGGTTCAATCTCCAGCACTTGCTACAGCTATCATGATATTATCTGATACTTAATTTTTTTCTTGCAATGCCTGGGATTGAAACCAGGGCTTTATGTATGGCAGGCACATGTTCTACCACTGAACTACCTTAGCCCAACAAGTATAATAAAATTTTTAAAAAGTGTTGATGAGGTTGTGGAAAAATTGGAATCTTTGTGCTTTGCTAGTGTAGCAGAAATGCCCCTCCCTCCAGTCTGTTAGTTGCCCGGGTAACAGTTCCTATTACAAGTTCCTGTTACTTCTGTCTCCTAGAAATGGCTGGTCATTATGATGCATACCGTAAGAACCAATCAAAGACAGCCCAGTACTCTGCCTCTGTACTCCTTTCAACTCCATAAAAACCTCTCTCCCTGGGCTTTTGGGGTCTGATACTCCGGGAATAATCTTGATCGGAGCCCATGGGTGTAAAATAAATCTGCCTCCAAATCCTGGGTGTCATTTTGGTGTTTCTGCTTGCCGTTGCAATAGGAATGTAAAATGATGTGACTGTTATGGGACAGTTTATCATTTCTTCAAGAGCTAGACAGAATTCTCTGATGACCCAGGAAGTTCACTCCTAGGTATATGTGCTGAAGAATCATTTGTAAACAAGGACTCAGATATTTATAAGCCAAAGGTGAGAGCAAGTGTCTATCAGTAGATGAGTGGATATACACATTGTGTTTTATGAGCTCACTCTGTAGCCCAGGCTGGCCTCCATCTCAACAATCCTCCAGCCTCAGCCTCCTAAGTGCTGGGATTACAGGCATGCATGCACCACCAAGCCCGGGTTAGCATGATTTTTTAAAAAGGATTTTTAAAAAATAAAGACATAGGGCTGGGGATATAGCTCAGCCGCACACCACCTGCCTGGCATGCACAAGGTCCTGAGTTCAATTCCCTGTACCAAAAATAAATAAATAAATAAAGACATGTCACGAAACGAAGCTTTTCCCTGCCAATGATGATGAACCCCAATAAACTAACATTCTCAATATGTGATTGAGCATAACTTACCGTATCTCATCACTTATACGGCAAATTTTTTCCCAAAATTTAACGTTTCAAAGTTGGTAGCATCACCCGCACGTGGTGTATGCCTGTAATCCCGGCACTCAGGAGGCTGAGGCAGGAGAATCACTATGAGCTCAAGGCCAGCCTGAGGTACAAAGTGAGTTCAAGGCCACCCTGGACTACATAGTGAGACCCTGTCTCAGGAAAAAAAAAAAAAAAAAGGAAGCAAGTGGTTACCACTCTTGGTAAGCGGCTCTGGAGCCAGGACCACTCCGAAGAAATTCCAGCAGGGTGTCTCGACATTTGTGGATCTACGGATAGCAAAATCTAACTCAAAGGTGTGATTTTCATGAAACTTGACCCTACACGACAGCTCAATAATGGTGATTTTTGTTCTTAAAAGGTTTGCTTTGGAGACAGGGTCTTGGTATGTAGTTCAGGTTGGTTTTATACTCACTATGCAGCCCAAGCGGGGCTCAAATCATGCAATCCTCCGGCCTCAGCCTCCCAAGTGCTGAGATCACAGGTATGCACCATCACAGCCAACTTCAACCTATTTTTGTGCTGTGATACGTTTCACATGAACCCAGTCTTCCTTACTGGCTTCCTAACGAGCACAAGGAGCTACTCATTCTAGGAAACTACCCCGCACCTTGCCTCTCCGAGCTCTTCAGGTGGGACCGCAGCCCTGTCCCGCTCCGCCCAGAGCTGCTTTCGCATTGGTGGGCCTGAGCCGTGACGCCCGCGCCCTCTGTGACGTCACAGCCTTGACCCAACTAAAGGGGCGGGACTCTGCTCGGGGGGGGGCGACTACGTGCTGACGTCACACGCCGGGGCGGGGCTGAGAGTTTGGTTCCCGGGAGTGGGGACTCGGCGTCTCATTCGGGTGGAGCAGAGCGGGAGACAGGTAACTGCGCGTTGCACCTGGGAGTGGTTCAGTGCCGGCAGGCTAGACGCTTGCCACCTGGAGGTCACGGCCGAGGGTGAGGCCGCCGCGTCCTTGGGTCCGCGGGCTCTGAGGTGACGGGAGTAGAGCTGGACAGAGCGGGGCAGACGGAGGGCGGCGGTGGTGGGCGGAGACGGGGGTTGACAGACAATCACGGAAGCCAATGGTGTAGCGGGGGCCGCCTGCCAGGCGGGCATTGGCGGACGAGGGCGCGCGCCGGGGGTCGCGCGGGGCACGGAGTGGCGCGCCATTGGCTGCGGGCGACTGGCGGGCTGCGGCGCGGCGGCCGGGGTGACCCCAAGGTCGTGGTGGAGTCACATGGCGGGCTCCTTGGGGCCGTGTCCTCCCGCTTGGGCGTCCCTTTGTCCTGAGAAGCCGCCGCCTTAGAACATGCTCCGCGACCTTGGTGGTACCTTGGCTCCACCAGCCGCCCAGGACCAGTAGCACTTGGGAGGGGGAAGCCCGCATGTGTGCATGCTTTCGGGCGCCCTTTTCCTTGTGAAGGGTGTGTGACAACCGCTGGGATGTAGTAGGCACCTGACCTCGAGCCGGGTACAGTGCCAAACCCTGAAGTGACAAGTTCTGCAAGTGTAGTCGACTGCTTCCCTGAAGACAGGTGTAGGGGCATTGGTGGCATCAGTAAGCCAAGCGATCCGGGTGTGGGCAAGGGGCGGTGCCGGGTGGTCAGCGCCCGCTCAGTACCACTTCCGACCCATTGTGCGCATGTCCGGAAGATGGCGGCTGTGAGCATCTTAGGGTTGGAGCTCTAGGTCCTTTGGCGTCAGAAGGTCACTTATCACACATTTGTACAGGCCCCCGGGAAGGCAGGCCACTGATTTGAGATAGACGGAGAAGGTCTCTGAGTTCCAAACAACTTAGCATCGTGACCCGCTCCATGGCAGAGATGTCAGCTGAAGGAGTCCTTGGGAGGATACTGCTTAGGGACGTGACCTCCAAAGTTGGTGATAGAAACTAGTAAAGGGCTTATTTAGGTTTTCCCTCGATTTCATGATTCAGGCTACCTGAGGTTGTCTGCGCGCCCTGTCCTCTTTCTCTGACGCCCGCAGAAGGAACTGTGTGGGGGTTTTTCGTGGCTGCTCTGGTAGCCCTGCACCTGGAGCCTAATTGCAGGTGCATTGGCGTTAGAATGATTGACACCGGGTGCAGCAGTCAGGCCACCCATTTATTGTTATGTAGACGCTCCTGATAAAGGTATTTGACATTGTAGTTTTCTAAATTAGCTCCGATGGATCTTGGGAAGTTGGAGAGAGATATCTTTTTTTTTTTTTTTTTTTTTTTTTGGTAGTACTGAGGATTGACCCTTAAGTCTTCGCACTAGCTATATCCCTATCCCTTTTTATTTTTTATTTTGAGACAGAGTCTTGTTAAATTGTCCAGGATGGGCTCGAAGTTGTGGTCCTTCTGCCTCAGCTTCCCGGAATGCTGGCATTACAGGTGTGTGTCACCACATCTGGCTTCTCATTAGTTTTTTAGAACACCTTTAACATTCCGGGCACCACCCCCAAATACTTTTATCATTTCTGGTACTTTTTCCTCTTGAACAACAACTTTCTTGAGATATTCATTTGAGGTAAAATTCACTCTGCATATAGTTCACCCATTTAAACTCTACAGTTCAGTAGTTTGTAGTATATTCTGTTAGCAGCCACCACGATTCAGTTACTTTGAAAGACTAATTTGAGTCTCAGAAATATTTATACACAAATTTCTGTTGGTTTTGATTACATTTAAATGCTTTATTTATTTGCTTATCAATGGCCAGAAATTATTTTTCATGGTTCCGGAGGCTGGAAGTCTTTAAGGTCGAGGTGCTGGCAGATTCTGTGTAGTGCTAACCTGCTTCCTGCTTCCCTCTTACATTCTCACATGGTAGAAGTCGAAGGAGTTTTGAGCCGCCGCCCCGCCTCCGCTTTTTTTTTTGTACCGGGAAACGAACTCAAGACCTTGCGCTTGCCATGCAGGCACTGTGCCGCTGAGCTATGTCCCCAGCAAGGCCTCTTTTATAAAGGCACTGATCCCATTAAAAACCCCACCCTTAATAGTCTCACCTTGGGGGTTATTGTGTTAGCATATAAATTTTCCTAGGACACAAACATACAGACCATGGCAGCAGACTTCTGGCTCGGGGAGTATAGCCGGTCAGGAGCATCCATATCTGTGATCTGAAAGCCACCAGTGCACTACCAGTGAGGCTGTGTGTGTAGGTTGCTCTCAGCCTGTGACTGGTGTGAGGGGAGACAAAGGTAGGTTCGTGCAAGAAGAGGGTGGCCTCCTGCCTGCTCACTGTGATGAGTGCTCAGTTTATTTACTGTTTATGTGTTGGGGTGAGTTAAAGACAGCTCCTTTGTCTTTTTTTTTTTCCGGTACTGGGAATCAAACTCACGACCTTGAGCTTGCCAGGCAGGCCCTGTGCCGCTGAGCTAAATCCCAAGCCCCAACCTTGCTGTCTTTTTTTTTAATTTTATTTTTTAAGACAGCTCCATTGTGAGTACCATTTTTGGGGGAGGGATTTTTTTTGAGGGGGACAGGGTCTCGCTTTGTAGTGCAGTGTAGTGTAGCTTGCCTTGAACTCGATTATGTAGCCCAGGCTGGCCTCAAACTCACTGTGATCCTCCTGCCTCAGCCTCCCAAGTTCTAGGATTACAGGTGTGCATCATCAGGCCCAGCCCATTTTTATTTTTTGAAATAATTGTAAAAATTATTGAGAAATATAGGTATTGTAAGATTTTGAGAAATTCTACATGCAAATCTGTTATGTACAATCAAAACAAATAGGGGATGAGTGTGGTGGTGCATATTTGTAATCCCAGCACTCAAAGCCTGGGCTACATAGTGAATTCAAGACCAGCCTGAACTACAGTTAGATCTGGTCTCAAAAAACAAACTAGTGCAGGGCTGGGGATATAGCTCAGCAGCACAAGCATCTGCCTGGCAAGCATAAGCTCCTGAATTCAATTCTCGGTACCCAAAAAAAAAAAAAAAGCCTAGTGCAAAGATCCCTGTGTTCCTTTCCCTACATTTCTCCAGTGGTAGATTTTCTCCAGTAGTTATAATTATCACAGCCAGATATTTACAATAGTAAAATTTAAGATACAGAACATTTTTCTCATCTCAAGGATATGTCCTTTTTCCTTTTTGTTATTATTGAGACAGGGTCTCATTGTGTAACCCCAGCTGGCCTTGAACTTGCTATGTAGCCCAGGCTGGCCTCCAACTTGCAGTGATCCTCCTGTCTCAGCCTGCTTAGTGCTGGGATTACAGGCTCATGCTATCACACCTACCTGTCCTGTTGCCTTTTTAAAGTCTACACTGATGTTCTTTCTGCCCTCAGCCCTTCACCTACTGGCAACGACGCAACCAGTTCACCATTTGCCTAATTTTGGTTGCCAAGAATGCCAAATAAAGGGAGTCATACAGCCTTTTGGGATTGACTTTCCACTCAGTGAAGGTCCCTGCAGATTCATCCCAGCTGTGGTGTGTTACTGCTGGTTGGCTTCAGTGGCATCTGCTATGAATGAACTACAACTGGTTTAAGTCTTCATCAATACCTGGCATCTTTTTTGTATTTTTTTATATAATAGCTAAATGTTTGAAGCCACCTATATGTTTATCAATAGATGATTGCATAAAGAAAATGTGTTTATATACAGTGGAGTACTACTCTGCCATAAAAAGGACAAACTGGAGTCTTTCAAAGGAAAATGGATGAACTTTGAGACCATAATGTTGAGTAAATAAATCAGACACACACGCTTAAATATCACATGGTTTCTATTGTATGAGAACCCAAAATATAAACAAAGAGTGAAATGCAAGATAGATAATGGGAGATAGATCTGTTGTAAAAGGGAAAGTGATCAAGAGAATGAGGGAAGGCCAGGTATAGTGATGCACACCTATAATCCTAGTGCTGAGGCTGAGGCAGGAGGATCACTGCAAGTTTGAGTGGGCCACCAAGGAAGACCCTGTCTCAGAAAGAGAGAGAGAGAGAGAGAGAGAGAGAGAGAGAGAGAGAGAGAGAGAGAGATGGAAGGAGCAAGGAGGGAGGGGAAAGGGGTGAAAAAATAGTTAAAATGTGTTATGTTCACTTTCCAATTCCTCAGGATGAGTGTAATCATTATGTACTGAAAAAAAATGCTAATAATAATTAAAATAAAAAAGAATTACCCATTCTATTTGCTCCATAACTTTGCCAGCATTTGGTGATGTTACTGTTTTTTATTTTAGCCATCCTAATATATGTGTAGTAATGTCTCGTTGTGGTTTTAAATTTGCATTTCTTTGATGGCTAATTATATTGAACACCTCCAATTGATTAAAATGTCCATATCTTTGTCCCCTTTTGTGGTTGGAATTTTTCTTTTTTTAAAATTTTGACTTTTGAGGCTGGCTTGGCCTTGAATTTGTGATGCTTTTTGCCTCAGCCTCCCCAGTAGCTAGGGTTCTAGTCATGTTCTACCACACTTAGCCTGTTAGCTGTTGAATTTTGAGAAAAAAAAAATTTTTAAGGGTAGTGAAGTTTTATTGAAAATAGGAAAAGAAACACTCTGCAAAGCAAGTTTGGGCCAAGTAAAAGTAGAAGTAATATGCCCTATAGTATGAGGGCAAGCAACCCTGTAAGAGTGAACACAGTGGCTGAGAATTCTTTTCTCTTTTTTTTTTTTGCGACTAAGTCTCACTCTAGCCTAGCCTGGCCTTACACACGGTGTTCTAGATTTCTTCTAGATTTTATGCTTGACGACCACAAGCACAATCTAGTAAGACAAAAACTGATAAACCAGACTTC